AGCAACTGCAGTGATTTAGTTAACAACTGTGGCAAGAAACTTTTAAAATGAAGCAAAATTCAGTTAACAGCTATCTTGCTTAGCAACAAAAATGTGGGGCTCAATTCGTCAAGGACTACCTGTATAATTGTCATAAATACACACTAGTAGACAAGCATCCTAATTTTGATCACATGACTATGGAATACTGTTGTAAGTGTGAAAACTGATTATAAATGTATTTTTCAGTGCCATTGTAACTTTGAACAGTCACTAAACAAATGGCTGTATTCTCGAAGCCCTCAACCTATCTCACTTTTACAGTCTCAGAATTGTTTCCTGCTGTATTATTTCTTCTTTGCAATCAATATTGCTCATTTGAAAAATTCAATTATAGGGCCTGTACATTAAGTTGACATGTGCTGCTTATTAACCCAACACAATTATATAGTATTGCAGTTCATCTAGTTCAAACATAGCATTCGTCTCTTGTACATGAACAATGTTAGCAGATATTTGAGGAATGCTGACACTGTCAGTATTTTTATGATTTAGTAGGAGAAAAATGTCTGAAAAAACCCCACAAGATTGGAAAACCCAGCTGTGTGCCTACAATAAAGATGTCACCCACACTTCTATTATTTATCACAACCCAGACTCTACATTTTAAAAAAGTACTGGCCCATACCAGTATCAAAATAACCTCAACGTGCTGGAAAAGATATTGGTAAATCACAAGAAGAGTTTTTGACAGCACTGGAACAGATTTATATTATTTTAGTTCACCATTCATCAAACCAAAATATTAACTTTATAAAAGAATGTTGCAAAAGTAAATAAGGAACTGTAAGGTTTTCCACTTAGCCTCACAACTTCCCCAGCATTACTCAGGAATTTAAAAGAGCCAAAGAAACTCCTGAGTCGAGGTTTCAGCAAGCAAACAACTTTTATTTTGATCAAAATAGAGTTGGGTGACCCCATCTCTCTTCGTGGCTGGTAGAGAGATGAAGGCAACAACCAGAAAAGATGTCTTCCACCTTTTATACCTTTCCAGAACAAAAAGATCAAGTCTTGGTACTAGGCATAAGATGGCACAAAAAAACAATTCTTAGATGATGACTCATACACAGCAACCCAGGCTCCATCCGTAACTCCTTTCCCCCCTCCCCTTACTGTGCTCTTTTCATATAAGCAATCACCTATACCTAAAGCATGAAGCCCTTACTTTTCCAACATATATATAAAGCATCTGATCAAGCAATTAACTACAAAATAATGATTACAAAATAACAAAACAATGATAACATGATAACACTATAAGTATCAATATAAAATGGTTACTATATATAAAATAAATGCTAATGTCAAACTTAAACATACTAAAATCATAAGCACAATAAAATCCCTTCACTCCTCCCTTTTTAATATAAAAGCCGAATAGGCTTAGGGACTGTTAAAGAGGGGAATATAGTCAGAAGGGAAAGGTTGCAAAATCAGTGCTTTAGCTGGTGTATCGTTATAGATAGGAGTGGCAATAAAAGTTGGTCCGAATACAGTAGACCTAACAATTCTCTAAATAAGCGGGATAAGGCATGATAAACACAACAACCCTCCTAAGGCCAAAACCACAATGAACAATATCCATTTCCAAGTATCAAACATTCCCAAAAACCATCGTCCAACATCCAGTGCTCCTGTCCATGTCTGGGCAGGGACATGAGCAAACTCTCGCATACTGTCAGTGACTTCTTTGACATATTCTTTATGTGTAATGTCAGACTGGGGTCTAATAATACAATTTAGGGCCACAATGACAAAATAGAGGGCCCATTTGGTTGGACAGTCCTTTCCAAGTCAAATTAAAATAAGGAGTGATGTTCTCTCAAGCTTCACATTTAAAAATGAAACAATTCTTTAGGGCCAGATCAATAATAATAATAAGAAGAAGAAAAGAGTCTTTGATACTGAGGGAATCTCAGTTGTGGTTTCCAGTTCATGAAAATCAACTTGAACCCATATTTGTATCTGGTTCAATTGATAGCAAGTTCAAATGATGCTGAAAAATCCGTTGGTCTGGTTATCGTGGAGCACACCAGGTTGCAGGAATTCTTTGAATGTGCCAGGTTGGGTAGGATGTGCAAACATATTTGGCATTTAATGTGTAGGCCTGTCTCCATACTTAGTCCATTTAGCTTGATTATAGTCAATAGCTTTACATGCATCAAAGAAGATTCTGGCACTTGTCCATAAATCTCGTGTTATTCTTCCCCAAAAGGTAATGTCTGTGTGTTCTCCCATATGTCCAGATTTAAAGTTGTGGGTAAAGCTGCACTGTTTTGATAGGAGCATAACAAGTGACCCTGTTGCCCCTTTGCAAGTGGAATACGTAGTCTTGTGATAAACACAACTCCCATTTGTTCCTTAAAGTATTGGGCCTATGGTCCTTCCTTCTACCAAAGAAGGTATGAGGGAAACAACAGTAGCAGAAGAAAAATATTGCAATACATAGTCCAGGTTCTAGGAACACGATTTCCACGGTACTCCAATCCATTGAGGTTCTTCTCCTACTTAGATGGAAACAGTTCAACAGGTGAGGCAGGTTGAAATTTCATTTTCAGGCCGTCCAGCTGTGGAGCTTGTCACTGGAGAGGATATGATGGGACTTTCCATGGACTCATGCCTTGATTCCTTAAATCAGGAGGACCTGGTATGGTTGAGACCACTGAGGACTGGTATTTCTAGGTGACAGTTCTTTTCACCTGAACCTACTCTCCAGGAACAACAATGGCCAGAGACAGGTGGTATGGCAGCCTGGGCCTGTACTGAGATAGAAGACAAAACCTGCACCAGATTATGTAAATACTAACTTTCTTCTCTTCTTCATTGACATTCTTGAACCTTCATGTAACAAAAGCCTCCCATACATCATTTCAAAGGGACAAAGAGAGCTTTCCAATTGAGGCCTATATTGAAATAGCCTCACCGCTAAATGTTGTAAAGCGTTTTATTTCCTGTTGTTTTTTTTCAAGATAGTTTCTCGGCTTCCTCCCTTTTCACTTAATTAATTTGGAATTTTGTAATTAATTTTTCCTTTGGAGGACTGGTCGGGGAAATCAGCCCCCTATCTTATTCCAAAATTACCAAAACCTCTGCAAAAAAATTACATACCAATTCAATTATTTTTCTTAACTCACTCTATCCTGTATTAGAAGACAGTTGCTTGGCTTCCTCTTTTCTTACATTTATTCATTTTTTTATGCTTATCTATAGAGGACTAGTCAGAGAGATCAACCTCCTGCCTTATTCCAGGATTTCCAAAGCTTTTTTTATTTTTGTTACTTACCAAGGCGCCTGTTGCAATTTCTCCCGTCAGTAGAGAAGCATGAAACCTCATTGAATTTGGGCGTTCAGGTTGCTCAGACATGGACCCCACCATCGACGATGAAGCATAGAATCTTCCAGGTCAAACACCTGAGAGCGCTCTAAGGCTCACAATTCAGTCGTTGCTGGTTTCGTCCTGCTGAGAATTGAAGGCTCGCTGGGACCTTAACAGGGGTCTCCAGATGTGGGGGGAAGAGCCATTGTAGTTTCCACCACGTTTAGGC